GTGTGTGTGTGGGTGGGGGAGGGAGGGAGAGGTTGTGTGTGGCCTTTTGTGTGTGATTGTTTGCACTTATCCTGTAAGTTTAAAAAGTCATTCTTTAAAAAAAAGTATTTAAAAAAAAAAACAAACAACAAAACAACACTGAACACCTGGCCACATTCACATCTCATCGTTCTTATGTTGTTCGTGTCGTCCCACCTCCATGGGGGGAAATAATGACACCTGTTAGTTAACTCGAGAGGAGGGGGGGGGGGTTCATAATTTTGTTATTTTAAACTTAAATTAATTTGTTTTAAAAACTTTTTAAAAAAAAGCTATCATTAATTATTTATTGTTTTTTTGTTTTTCTTGTCCACCCAGGTTTGGGCCCCGACGGCCAGTTCATGCCCGGAGACATGATGCCACCGTCTTCAACACCGGAGCCCATGGGCCCCCACGAGCCCTTCGGCATTCCGCGGAGCATGGGCCACCACTTCAACCCGTCGCTGTCGCCGTCGCTCGCCCACCACCACCCTCACCACCCACACCACCAACAGTTGCCGGAAATGACGTCAGAGGTCTGGTGACAATTAACCATGGGGCACGGACCGTAACTGACCCATGACGCGCTGACCAGAGGCGTCACCTACGGCTTGATTAGTCCTGTTTCCCCGATGCCCGGGAGGGATACCTTTCGAAAGGGGCCTGATTCCTCGCCTGGTTTTCAAATTGCGCACCAAATGAAAGTGGTCACCACAACAACAACAACAAAAAAAAGAGTGATTTTTCATTTTGAGAGTGTGACAAAGAGACAATATGTCCTAAAAAAGAAAGGAGGTGAATTTCTCCTGACTTTTTCACGTGACATTCTGGACCTGAATGTATTATTTTAGTCATCTCGACTGCCAAGTTTATTCAATTTTTTTTTTCTTCCGGGAAATGTGTTAAAAAACGAATTCTTAAAAAAAAACGTTTTCGTTTCATTGTGTGCGCTATATAATTATTATCATAATTGTTATTTATTGTTACCTTCAACACGTCGTAGAGATTATTTATCTTGCCTTGCTTGCTGGCTGTCAGCTGGCAAACATTCGTCGAGGCAAAATTGGTTTCGAGATTAACAATGACGCCATTGTCGTCCCGTGCTGTGACAGCGTGTTGAAAGATGAACATGTATTTAATGACACGGTGTTAAGAAAAAAACACAAAAAAAAAACATAAAGAAATACAATAAAATATTTAAAAAACCATCATACGAGAGTAAGCAAATTTTTTTTTGGAGGTACCTCCAGAGGTAATCAGTCAGAGGTAATGAGTCAGAGGTAATCAGTCAGAGGTATCAGCCAGAGGTAAAAACTCATCTTGAAATGTGTAATTAATCGTGGCGCCCTAAAAACGCAATTAAAATTCATCGGAATGGGAAGACACGTGGACTATGGTGATAACGCATGGGTGGAATATTCGCGCAGACCATCCATCATTACAAACCTGTACGACGTCAACGGATTGGCGGCTGATGGATTATGATGGCCGTGGTTTTGCAAAGTGTGGATTAAAAATTTTTTTTTTCTTTTCAAAAATCAAACCGGAAGGGTTACAAACGACGTCATCCGCGTGACGCTGCGTCACCAGTCTTCTGTGCACTTGTTTCTAGACGTGTGGCAGCCGATGTGGGCTTTTCTGACCGGAAGTAGCGATATCTGTCCAACGGTTTTTTTTTTGTTTTTTTTTCTTTCCTGTCGGTGATTTCCAAGTGTTTATGTGTCGAATGTGACGTCCACAGTGACGTCGACAGTGACGTCGACAGTGGTACGTCGTTTCCTCGACGACCACGGTAGCTCGAGGTCGACACGTGACGTCAGGGAATCTCCGGTGCAACTACGTCACTAGACAACACACGGCTAAATGAATCGCTGATACGCGCCCCATTCATTAAGTGAGACGGATTTGACCTAAACCAGAAAGCTGTTTCCCTTGAGTTCAAGAAGTTCAGGAATACTTCACGGGCCGAAAAAGGAGTTAGTTGTAAAAGGGTGGGATACAAGATCAGGCAATGAACCAAAAGACATTTTTGATGATTCTAGTCACATGGGTTTTTGTTTTTTTTTCTCTTGTTTTTTTTTTTGTTTTTTTTAAACCCCAGTTTTAGTGAACATAAATGTGGCAGTGTGTGTTTAATGTTACGCATTTCCACTCAGGGGTTTTCAACGCTGGCCAAACTCTACTTATCCGGATTAGATTCACCGCCAAAAGTTCATTTTTAAAAAAAAACAACAACAACAACAACAAAAGCAAACGTGGCCTCTAGTGTCATTCCCCCCCACCCCCCCCCCCCCCCCCCCCCGCGCAAGTTGGCGCAATGAAAACAAAAGAAAAGAAAAGAAACACGACTGAAAGAAAGACTCAGTAAATTCCCAAAACGACAAATAAAATTGTGTCAATTCGGGAGGACTCTCACAGCGGATTCGTTCTGTTTCTTCCCAAAAAAACCCCAAAAAACTTTAGACACCAGTTTCAAAAACGTGTCTAGGGGCGCATTTGAAAACTGCGAACTTTATACGTGGAGGCGGCGACAGAAAGAGCGACGACACCGCTCTAGACGACAGAGACGCCTTTTGTCTTGGCTAACAGATTGAGCGTCGTCATCATCATCCTAAAAGAGGGGTGGGCAAAAAAGTCCACGACGCTGGTGTATAGGAGATATACAAACAAACAAAGAAATTGTGAAGGAGAACCCGTTGAAGAACAACAACATAATATAAGGCTTATAGAGATGATAACCTACTCAAAGAATAACTGCTTGGATCCAATACATTTGAACATTTCAGTGAATAAATTTTTTTTTTTCTTTTTGACAGCCAACTGTTCTGTCATGAACATGGAAACATTTAATGAACATTTACATTGGAGTCGTGTTCAAACGGCGTCATTCACACGCCACACAGCCGATCTATTTATATGAACAATTACTGTGAGAGTATTTTTTTTTCTCCCCCATTCTGTTTCTGTGTCTAGAGTTCATACGTACACTGTAAAATGTTCATATTTAAACTGCGGTGTCATTACTTGAACATAACTTTGTGTTTACTTCCTGTGCGGAGGGATTGTGTCTTCTCCGCCCACTTATGCGTTTGGATACGTCTTGATATTCCTTTGTATAACTTATTGTGTTTTCAAAAAGAATACATTAGGACTGACCTACTGCCCTATGTCCAATGAGAGACTCTAGGTCATTGGTTAGTTGTGAATAGACGATCAATGAATATGTATGTATGTCACTCATGTGTTAACAAGGTAATAATTTTGACTTACAATTTTGTGTGTTTGAGATTGTATATAGACTATGTCTATTTGGCAAAGACGACACTATCATTGTACAATTTTTATAAGTCTTTTTTTTTTTTTTTTTTTTTTTTTTTTTAAAGTTTAATCCCACACTGCACAAAGTCTTAGATTCCCCCCAACCTCAAGCTGCCAAAGGTCGAAAAAACCCTAATATTTCAGACAGCTCCATCACTATAAGCCCAAAGTTTCCGAATGCTTCATAACCATGAGCCCAAAGTTTCAGACTGCTCCTGCCCCAAAAGGTGCCCGAAGCCCAATACAGTTCCAAGCCTCAGATTTCTCCAACCACAGACTGACCCCCCCCCCCCAAAGCCCCTGCGCGTACCCTAACTTCGCCCGAGATTAAAAAATAGCCTTTCGCGATATCTGACCATAAGAGATATTTCTGGACACACTCTGTCATCTGTCTCTCACTTTAGACAGACAAAGCCATCAGACAACGGGGTCTGAAAGTAAAAAAAAACCACAATACATAAGGAAATAACTAGGGAGAAAAAAAAATGGAAGAAATGTCAACGTGACCCAGTAGCACCCTTGCTCAGCATCTTAAAAATTTGTTCAATAACTAATTTGAAATTATTTTGCGATCGATGATTTGAATAGTCCCACCTTTTGATACCGCCAAGCGGTAATTGAAAATGTAAACGTGAGGCAATTAAAAGACATTTAGACATTACGCCGACAATTTTTTTTTCCCCTCCAACTTCCAAATGTTCCCCCTCCCACTTGCCCGCCAATGCGTTAGAGTAAACAACCAAGTGCACCGGTGTAATTACAGAAATGCCACCCATAACAAAAAGTCCCCCTCCCCTTCTAAAGCGGTGTATGCTCTGCAATTAAAATATTGATTTCAATGATGAAGGTTATTCTTTTTTTTTTCTCTAGCTTGAAAAAGGTTATTTTTCTAGCTTTATTAAAATATAAAAAAATTAATTTAAAAAAAGAAGAAAAAAAAAAAAAGAAAAAAGATTTAGACCAGGAAATAGTCCCTTTGCTTCGATTTTATTATTTATTTTTTTGTTTATTTCATTAAAACAAATTTTTTTAATTTAATTTTTATGGGGTGAGAGTTCAGAAAGTATAGCTATTTGTGAAGGTGCAGTGGCCAGTCAAAGTGGGGCGTCGGGGATAAGTAGGATTTGAACCCGAACTACTTTACGACGTCCGGTGGCGTCGCGCCCTTCAAAACGATAATCGAGTATTTTAATAAAATTTTGTACAAGTAAGCGTTCAATCTTCCCTTTTGTTCCAATATGACCACGAGTCGATGTAGGATTCGTCCAAAATGTCAGGTTTCGGGGGGGGGGGATATTTGCGTTTTTTTTAAAGGGGGGAGGGGTATTGTTTTAGAAATAATATAAATCAACAAGGAAGTTGGGTAGAGAGAGGTTGGGGGGGGGGCAGGAATGCTGCTGGGTAATCACCAATCATCGACCACATCATTTATTAACGCCAGTGATTAAAACATAATACCGCTATTTAAGCCTCTTCGAATGAATTTAATTTTTTTTTTTTGGTGGTCCGCGGATCAAGCAGCGGTCCGCGGATCAAGCAGCGGTCCGCACAACTTCAATATTTAAAGAAAAAAAAAGAAAAGAACTACAGTTAATCAATCCGGGGCGGTGGTCCCTGAAATAATTTCACAATTTTTTTCAAGCGGCCCGCCGAATTAAAAAAAAAAGAAAAAAAGGGGGGGGGGGTAGGGGGGCTGGTCCAAGGCGGTTGTCATGNGGCAGTTGTCATGAGCCTCGAGGCGCCTCACTGTGAAGAGGCGCGTGTTTTTTTTCATTAGGTCATATTGACGTATTTAATCAAAAGACTGCATGCGATGTTAACACCTTTATAATACCCCCCCCCCCTTTTTCCTTTTCTTTCCCCTCGCATGCCAACATCATCTTCTCCGCTTTAGCCAGCCACTCAGTCTGTGCGTACAATAATTTGTACGCGGCATTGATATGATACAAACCAAAAGTTTAAAATATGGCTTTTTAAAAAAAAAATCCTTTATATTACTAATATTAGCTTCGCTTTTTTTTTTAAAAAAATCTTTAGGGTAATATCTTCGGACGCCAAAACTGACCCACCTCCCGTCAATCAGTCGAGCTGAAACTTGGCACATAGGCTCGTTGCCGATGATAATACATTCTATCAAATGTATCCCCCCCCCAAAAAAAAAATAAAAAAAAATATCACAAGTGCGTTTCATGCGTACTATTTTCCTTTATTTTTTTTATTTTTTTCTGAAATAGTTTGTGAAATAAATCTCCGATGTAAAGCTTGTGGCGGGCATTAGAACCTTCATTTAAAATAATAGATATTTTTTTTTAAAAAAAGCATATTAAGGATGTGCACGGAAAATTTTTTATTTTTTAGGGTTGTTTAGTTATTATTATTATTTTTTTTTTTTTTAAACATTTTTTTTTTTTTTTACGAGATAAGGGCTCTGTTATCAACATTTCTATGAACATCTTTTATTTGACCACAGTTTGACTAGCGCCTCGTTCACATGGATGGTTTTCTTCTTCTAAAAAAGAA